CTTGGTAGTTTATAATAGCTGAAGATCTGCCCTGCTGATTTTATTATTTTTTAGTGTCACTTTCTTCCTTTTCTTTTTTTTTTTCTTTTTCTCTGCCTATTTCTTTTCATCCTCTCAGTGAAAAGTGAGAGTAGTACAGAATCCAGTATAAGCGTTGGACCACTCCACCAATACAGCCAGTGTTTGTACAGCAACCTCTATAGCTTTCTGCTCCAAAGTATTAACTGATCCTAAATTCAGGAAGAGAAGAACATAGACAGTAGACTTTTTTCTACCCTAACAGAAGCAAAGCTGGTTTAAATAAAAAAAAAAAAAAAAAAAAAAAAAAAAAGAAAAACCTTACATCTCATGCAATATGTTCTCAAAATGCTCCGCTGTGCAAATATTCTCATTCCCTTGGGATAACATGTGGGGTTTTTGATTAACCATATGATTAACCACCACAACACAGGGACTTCAGAGCTTCATGGGTCTTCATTCGGTTAGCTTACTTTATCATCTCCACACCATCTTTCTTAGATTAAGGTCAGCCCACCAGTACAAACACCTGAGCAAGAACTGTAATTTGCTTGCAGGTTTCAAGGTAATTTCAACTTCAAATGCGAAAGCATAAAAAAAAAATTCCTAATTGCAGCTGTCCAGAACAGGATTGCAGCTCCTGTTCCCATCATTTGCAGCTTCTGACTCACTCAGTCATTAACACAGAACTTGCTATTTCAAGGCAGCTGCTCTTTTAGTGGTCAGACATCTACTCAGCCTTGGCTTCACAGTCTAAAATAAATATCCTTGAGCGGTTGTACAAAAACTTCTATACAGAGAGCAAGTGGAGAACCCCACTGTTACAGTTTGCAGACGCTTGGGAGAAAACTCTCTGTATACCACACCTCTAAACTGCTCTGACAATGGCTAAACTGGCTAGTGAAGCCGGAGAATGGTTTCTAAAATACAAACCACCACGTAATCAAGCCTAGGCCTTCTTTATTTTATCTGCAGTTTCCTCATAGGCAGCACTTTGACAGATGGGTGCCCAATGACGGACCATCTCCATCATCAATTATTTCAGTCGTCTCCGTCACTCCTTTCTAAAGCCGGCACCACTCTCCTGCCGAAGCCTCTGGCATGCTAACATATTAAACAACTCCTTTTGATTATCTGAGTCACATATCCAAGCTTGCAAGCTTTATTTAAGGAGCTTCCATTCCCAAGAGATGTTTCTTGTATTGTCCCCATGGTGTGAAACAACCAGGCAGAAGGAACCGACTGGTCAACGTCTACACGCTGCTGTTGGCTGCTACGCTAAGGAGGAATAAATGTCATGGGAGTAGAGTTTAGAAGCAGGAGAAAATTAGGAAAGTAACCGAGTTGCAGGCTGTTTCTCTTTCTAACAAATACAACATGACCAAATTTGATATCCCGATATCTTTTTGTAACAACAGGAGTTACAGGATGCAGGTAAAATGCCGATATTAACATTTCTGTCACATAACCCTGCAGGACTGCGAGCAGAATTGGACCAAGCAGCCTTTTTCACCTCCCTTCTTAAGCTGCCTTGTACTGATGCTTTACTTTGTCAAATCAGAGATACAGCCCATTGCCCCAGTGGCTGCACCTACCTGCTGGGGTAGAGCTCTCTGTTTCCCTGGGACACCATCAGAGCAATTGCAAGCACTGCTGAGATGAAAATCCCAAAAGCAAGGAAGGGTGCTGTAAGAGAATGAGCAAGCTTCTCCTGACATTTTGAGTTGTATTGTCAGTTGATATTCACATGTTTCTGCTTTAAGTAGTTTGCTAAATCTTAAGAAAGATCTGTTCTATTCCGACGAGTTATTTTTGTTTGCATTGCTTTGTCACAGCAAGACCTCTAATGACTAAATGAAATCTCAGCGAGTACTAAGGATTGACACTGGATTTTAAAACTGTTTTAAATCTTCCAGGACTAAGCTGCTTTAGGTGACTACTGAGTTGCTACCCTCTCCCACTCTGCGAGGCAATTAATAGTTCATACTTTGGCACAGATGAACCCACGTTTTCCATCTGAACTTTGGGCCTGTGGTTACTCACGGGTTACCTCCCGAGTTGTAAGTCAGAGCCATCTGCATTTCTCATAGGCATTTCAGTATCTCTAGAAAAATGCCACAGATTCTTCTATCCAACTGCTCTTACAGACGAAGATTATAAAGCAGAACAGCTCATAACCACCTCCTCTGCAAACACTCGGAGCATGCCAGCTGCAGAGTGCTTGCGAATCTGCAAGCAGCGATGTACAAACCACGCTGTAACCATCCTCTCGTGAGATTTCAGTGTAAGTGAAAAAGTAGCTGGAGCAGCAAGCAGGCTAATGAAAACCTGTGGTTTCTAGATCCCTGTTCTGTTTCCACATGGCAAGTACAAACCAAAATCCCTCCCTGTAAAGGCTGCCAGTCCTCCCCTTTGCAACACCCTTGCTAAAGTAGATGCTAATCCAACCAGGAGCAAAACCCTGACTCCTGCACCACGCCACAGAGCTCACGGTCACCACGGAGCATAAGCTCTTGCTGTTGGGAAACCAACCACAAAGAAACCCATCAGGGCAGCATGTGTCAGCGACCAACCCTCAACAAATAGATGATGATGATGATAATAATAATCATCATCATCAATAGCAAAAAGCTTTACCTTTATCCTGAGTTCTGTTACCAAGCACCAGAACAGGCTGCCACATGCCAGTGTCCTGACTTAAGTAGTAGTGGAACAGAAACACAGACAGCAACAGGAGAAGTACTTGAGCCTTGTCAGGCTCCTGCTCACTCTCCAAAGCTTTCACCTGCATGTTATTCAACATCTAAAAGTCACTAGGAAAGGACACGAGGATAGCTTCGGAAAGCTATCAAGACCACATAAGGGAGGGTGAAGGGCTTTAAGTGTACTGAAGAAAATCCCCTCCTTTACACCAAACAAAAATAGACCAAATCCAGCACTTCCAGAGTGAGCTCTTAAGTGTAAAAAGTAGCTTGCAAGAGCAATACTTAACAAGAAATCTGTGCTTGTGTCCTGTACAGGGTCTTTAGACACCGCGGCCATCTGTGCTCGGGTTGCTACACTGATTTTAAAATCCTTTTGTCTCATTGAGACTTTTTGAAGAAACATGAAGCAAGCTTTTATACCAACAGTGCATTTGCAAGAGCACCGGGAGCAGTAAGCTCTATTTTAGTCACCTCAGTCACCCCTCCGGGCACTCAGCGGAGAGACACGTAGGAAGGCACCTTTCTAGAGTCCTCCTTTGACCTTTTAGGAAAATCTAAGGTTTAACTGTCACTTAATAGCTCTTCAGCTAATGTGGCCGGCTTCAGTAATATTGACATTTGATACATTCAGAGCAACTCTATAGAGTGTTCATGGACAAACTCTCCAGCCGCGCTGAAATCGGTCCCAATTCTATACTGATTTAACGGGACCAGAATTACCTCCCAGGGAACCAAAAGTTGGTGTGAGAAGGGAGTCGAGTCAAAAAGTTCTAACTCCAGTGTTCATAGGATGCTGCCACAAGGAAGGATTCAGTTGCTGGTTTCGGTCACACTAACGGTGTAGTCGACCTGTTTCGGAGAATACACACTCAAGCTGAGGAACTTGCAAGTTAGCATCCTCAGCAAACCCTGAAAAATTAACAAGGATCTGCCGCAAACAAATCCCATTTTACTAACAGATGCTTTTTGGTGATATAAAACTCTGTTTCTTTGCAGAAATAACTATAAATTGCTTTTGCTGCATCCCTAGATGGCAGACCTTAAGCATGTAAACTAAAGCAACAATCAAAGCAAAATTAAACAAAATTAGCAGGCGTGTGCCCGGAGCACGGTTCGCTCAGGATTTGGATGACCTAACTCACAGACGGATTATTTTTCCCTTCTATTTGTGAGAATGATTTAAACTTTTACCGACCTTCTGTGGTTAATTCAGACATTTTTCTCAAGTTTTCACTGTGGCCTGCTTACTCAGTGAGCATAACAGCTCCTCCTTCTGAACGAAACAGAACTTCTGCCCTGGGAAAACTGACATGTTGTGGTGTGTAAAACCATGATAGAGGTGTATTTTTCCAACCAGTGATGTATCATTCTTCCTCGGATCCTCCCTCCAAACATGCCACTCCACTGATTAATCAAAGAGTTTATCCAGGGCTACTCCTTTCTTTTTTTTTTTTTTTTTTTTTTTTTTTTTTTTTTTTTTTTTTTTTACATTAGGTCCTAACAATGCCAGGTGACCATGGGTGTAGGCAAACAGTGATATCACTGGTTTTCAAAAAATATTAAAATGAAAACAATCATTTGCACAGTTACATACTTGCCCCTGTATAAGCCCTTTCACTCGCTAGTACTACTGACACAGAAAACAGCTGTCATACAGCAGTGCTCCTATTACTTTATGGAAACAAAGAGAGGCTTTAAGATAGACAAAACCCTTCCTCGAGTAACGCCGTATGGTATCTTTACGTTGTCCTCCCTCTCCAGCTGCAGCCGTGCTGCTCCCCAGAGAGAGGAGGATCACTCTCCACGTTGATCAGAGCCCTTTCTGTACTGCCTCCGTGATTTCAAAAAGAAAACATTAAGTTGCTTCTTGGCAAACGAGCACAAACTCCCGCAGTACGAATGCAAACGCTCCTCATCAAGTTGTTTGGGGCAGACAAGTCACTCTACACGTTTCGACAACACTAATGCAAGCTGTTAAGAAAGCTTTGGCTTTATGCTTCAAATTACGGTCGCAGCACCAAGGAAGCTTGCTTAAAATTTAGGCTGCGCTTTACAGTATAACATACCCTATCTTTCCTTAACAGAGATCTTAAAATGAGCACAACCAGAGTACCAGAGAGGAGCTTCAAGATGTAATGAAGCGAGCGCCGGAGGAAGGGCTGTGCTTTCCAAACAGCTGGTGTAAATCTCCCAAGTGACTCCCTACGAGCCGGACCCTTGGCTTGCCACGCAGCAGCTCGTGTCGAGAGCCAGCAACCCTCCCCTCTCCCTACTCACAGTTCGGTGGCGTTGGCGGGGATGTCCCGGGGAACCTGGACCACCTTGCTCTCCTGACAAACAAAGACCCTGCCTGCGCAGCGGCAGGTGTGGTGCTGACATCCCCAGCAGCCCACCAGGAAAACCAGCAACCAGGCGAGGACCAGAGACATCTCTGCCTTCACATCTGTGCTCCTCGCCTTCATCTGAAAGGAAGGAATGCAGAGACCTCCCAGCCCAACTCCCTGGATGGAAGATCCGCCCCAAAAGCTGGGATGAACCACGTGGCTCTTGGGGGATGATTTCTCAGCACTTTTCAGTTCATGGCCCCACATCCTTTATGGCCTTGGAGTAGGGATGGAAAGAAGCAATCCTGATTTTCCAGTGGCAAAAGTATTTCATATTTTAAGTGGTGTTGAAATCACCCAGATGAACTAACCAGGGCACTTGTGACGCACTGGGTGTCTGCACTGGGAAAAGACCCTTCTTTCTCAGCTACGCTATTTTGCATGCTTTGTTTGGTAAGACCATGGGACAAGAAAGCATTTTTATTTTCTACAGCCCAGGAACTTTTGTCCCTGAAGGAGAGACACTATTTATGCTCCTCTTCATGGACTCAAGAGCCCATGCTTTTGTGTTGCTCCTAGGCAAAAGAAATGTGTTTTTTTTTTTTTTATAGAGTATATAAAAGCTGTACAGTCCTAAAGCCAGAGCTAAATAACACACCTGTATTTTCAACTGTGATTATTCTTCATGCACTTGCTAAAGAACCCCAAACAGGAGAAACCACCAGAATCCCAATGGTCCCTGGGGACTGAGAAGCTAATTTCACCATCTGGGGAGAAACCCAGAAATATACAGAAAGTCTCTTTGTGACACAACAGGAGGAAAGCAGCTTCAAGAATATCATCATAAGGCCTGGACTGTGAATCCCCATCTTGGAGTCCTTATTTGTTTTGTTTACTTTTTGACTGAGCTAAAATGTGTTTCTTGTTACCAATATTAATCCTTGGGGAAGGGACCTGGCTAACTCTTTGCTGGGACTGAGTCATGCTGCACCAGGCTAACATCTGAAACCAGGGTTTGTCTACATGACACCTGAAACGACAATTTTGAGATAAAATGGGGTTTAGGGTTTTTTGTTTGCTTGCTTTGTTTTAATTTGCAAACAAAGCTTTTAAGTCACAAGCATTTTAGTAATTACTCACTTGTCATGGGTAATTCTACTGAACGTGACTCACCTTCAATCCTTCACACTGCTTGGAAGGAATTTAATCTTGTTAAAAAGCAGATGTTAGGTTGGTTTTTTGGGTTTTTCAATTGTTTTTTTTTTCTTCTCCCATAATCAAAAAGCATAAGCAAATGTAATGAGACACAACACAGCATCTCTTCTCTGAAGTGTGCTGGCCAAAAAACTCTACTATTCTCATCTTTAAAACAAACATCAAAATGTAGATGTTTCTGAAAAGAGCTAATGATGATTTTCAAAATTAATCAACTGAATCTTTAAGTTACCCTAAGAGTCACCCTAATTTTACCAAATATCACCAAATATTTATTATTTTTCCTCACCCCCTCAAACTTACTTAAGATGAGAACAGTGATATTTACATTTAAAAAGGGAAAAAAATCATTTCAATCTCTTTCTAACAATGGCAAGCTTGTAAGGGAGTGTAAGATATCCATTTAGCTGTACATGTGAAAAAGAGTCCATTTTGCTAAGGTGGCTGAATCAGATTCATGAGAATGACGGTGCCTGCCAGAAAAAAAAAAGTTCTAAAATATTAGTGAGTTTTTCCTCATATATCTATCTGTCTATCTATATCTCCTTTCCTTTGAAAGATCTTAGACCTACAAGATCTCCCAAAATAAGTACAACCTTTAGCTTCCTTCGTACTCAATGGGATGAAAACTGCAGAAGTTCATCCTATGGCCAAACAAATTCTCATTTAGTAAAAAATTGTCTTAGCCCACTGTAAGTTGGACTAACTAGACACTTCAGGACTTAATTGCCCGGAAGACAAATCATTTGAGGCTTTTCTAGTTTGGGCTTTTTAATAGCAAGTCTCTAGTTTCTACAGTTGTAGACTGAAAGTAGGTTGAAAAAAGCCCCTAAAAATCAAAAACGTGAAGCTTGAGGAATATATAGAGCACAAGAACACTTGGTTACAAATTAATATAAGCCATCTCTCTTCATTCTGAAACCCATCAATACTGATGAAACGGATAGAAATATTTATGACATAGTTTAAAAAGTGGTAACGTTCTCTGAATGTCAAAATAATTTGCGTTGCTACAAAACATTGCAATTTTATTAACTTTAGGTTTCATATATCACACTACAACCTTGTTTCAGATGATAGTAATGATTCTTCTGTATGCAAAAGTCAGGAGATTATACAGATATTGCTAGGGCTACAAGAGATCTTTCCAATTACTAGTGACGTTCAAAACTACCAAGTGTGCTTTATTTTAACACAACTAGTAAAACATAGATGTTTTAAAACATCAGGTCAGGCCCAGCAGCAAATCATGAGCATAATGAAGAAAAATTGGAGGGAGATTGGCTCCTTCCTGTTTTTGCTTGGTGAGGCCATTTTCTCAATACAGTACCCGTTGTACCACTTTCACTGATGGCAGGTAAGACTAAGATGAGGATTATTAAATAATTATAAAAAAACTCCAAACCCCAAGATTCTCTTGAAATACTGTGGAGATAAGAATTTGATGGAAATATCCAGTTATCATTAAATTCAATAAAATCAGATGGTATGCAAAATGAAACTGACACTTCATTCATATTAGAGGAAGCACTAACTCAGGGCCACACTAAAGCTATGTGAGGATAAATGAAGATTCAGAAGGATTTCTGAGTTGTTTCATGCATATAATTCAAGATCTTGAAAAACGACTCTGGTGTCTATTGATTTTTTGAACTGAGAATGTCTCTCCTGATGTCTGCTCAAATGACACACAGCCACACCACTGCAGTCCTCTGGATGGATTAATGGGCTGATGATCCTTTCTCTACGAGTTCAGGAGCACAATTGTCCCCTCTCAGGAAGAAATTCCGTGTAAAGGAGGGGAAAAAAATGCCAAGATACCTCCTAGTGTCTTTCTGAGGAAGTTGCACCCACAAGTCCTTCTTGAGCACCAGGTTTGAGCTCCAACCATGCCTGAAAACCCAAAGGACCTGTATCATAAAATGCCCCACATCTTTGTGCCATCACAGGTCTTCATACTTCTTCCTCAGTAGCTTGTTCATAGAATCATAGATCATAGAATCATTAAGGTTGGAAAAAACCTCAAGGATCATCAAGTCCAACCATGGGGGGCAAACTCATGCCTCCTGTCCCAGCTACACACTCTGGCACCTTCAGAGCATCATGTGCTAGGAGCAAGGACCTGTCTCGTGGAGATGGCTGGCTGTGATGCACTGTCATTGAGATACGTACTGTTGAAAGCATAAATGCAGAGATGACGGTGCTTTCAGATATTCCTAAGAGCCTTAATCTTTGCATCCATTTGCAGGAGAGCTAAGCTCCAGCTGGCAAATCGGTCTTGAGAGTGTAAACTGTTTTCCTGGGTAAGGAAACAAAAATTTCCCCAAATTGAAGCACTGTAGCAACAGACATGCAATTAAGTGAATTATGACAGAAACTCAGTGATGATATGATGAAATTATGAAATTAGACGGCTTCTGGGATAGACAGTTAATTCACAGTTATACAGTCACCGAGGGATCTTCTTTAAGACAGTAGTAAAGTCCCCTGGATTGATGAAGATACAGCAGGAAATAAAATAAACCACCCCAGCTCTCTCCCTCTTGCCCTCACCAGGCTTATTCCAAATACACCGAAACATCTCCAAGTCCTTCCACCGCAGCGCAGACGCGGTTGGCTCAGCATGGAAACCCAGCTGCCGGAGGTGTGGGAACAGCTCTTTTTCAGGAGGCAGGAGGGTTACCGGGTGTTGGAGTGTATCAACCTACAGGCAAGCAAGTTCGCAGCAGCTTCTGCTTGTGTTTCTCTCTTTTGAAACACAACATGACAGCTAATTAAGTAATTTTTTTTTTTTTTCTGCTGGCATTTTCCAGCCTCAGAACAGTGTTTAATTACTGAATGCCACTGTAACACTGGCTTTGCTTAACCACAAACGTTCTATAAAAATATACAGGCAAATAAATCTCCTGTACGAACAGACAACATACAAACCACATCCAAAAAAGAAGTTTACCCTTCAAAGAGTGGAGATTTCTGGCTCTTTTGATGGTTTCTAGCACATAGGTTTTCCCTATGGGTTTACAGGCAGCAATAGCATCTATTGTCCTGACTACCATGCTATGGTCATAAAAAGGTGTTTTCTATCCAGAAAAGCTTGCAATGTGAGACGTAGCAGATAGACACCTAAAAGGAAATTAATAAGAGGGAGTTTGACACATCATTGATTCACCTTTTGTGAATGACAAACTTGGGTTTTAATAGAGCACATCACTGAGGCCAACAGACCATTTACCTAATAAAAATAAAATGTTTTAGGCTTCTTTCCAGAATAGTCTTTCCAAACAGATTTTTTTTTTTTAGCTTCATCTTTTTCCATGAATGGGGGTTATTTTTATATACAATAGAATGGCCAGACTTTATCTGTGCCCTCAGTGTTGAGAACATAAAACATGAAGCTAGCCTAATAAAAGCACTAGCTTATTGCTCTATCAGTCTTTTAGCCAGCTGCTCTCATGCAACCTTAACTCTCCAAAAAGAGCAAAATGGAGAGAGTAAATTAGCCACGAGAGGGAGTGCATTCGCTCTAAAAGAGAAGACGCACCAGGATAAGGAAAGGATTAGAAGGTGTACAGAGTTATGCTCACACAGATTTCCTGCCTGGCTTTCGACTTCCCATCTTGGCCGTGCTTAGCTCCTTTATGAAGCAGCACCTCTGCAGAGCGCCGAGGAGCACGTCTCACGGCGCTGTGTTTCACGCAGCAATAACCGACAGCGCCGTGGCTCTTGCTTCCCTCTTGTTATCCACCCCTTTTTCCCCCCTAAAACCTAATTAGCACCTGATGTAATGGCGCTGCAGTGTGGAATGGCCTCCGACACGACCAGTATTCTTGCTGACACTGCTCAGCAGCGAGCACGTGCTGTCTTACGATCTGGGGGAGCAGGGGAATTAC